CCGCCCACGCCGCTGGAGGCCGTGCCCTTGCATCTGGCACTGCGCTTGGCTGTTGGGAAACGATTGGAGCTGCTTCTCTGCCCCGCTCATCGACGCTTGCTTCTAGTACTGTGCCTATGGCTGTCGGCGCATGTGAAACACACAGGTTTTCTGTTGATATCTGCACTTAATTTTAACAGGTTTTCCAGAGTATGAAACTGCGTGAGACGGCCTGACTCCCTTCTCTCCCTGCTTTCTTCCTTCTGTTTCAGTTTTGCCTTTGTTCCCCCGACTCATAAGTGAGGACTCAGACGTGCAGGGGTGCACATGTTCTAGGCAGTAAGGTGAGGATGGCTTGGGTGCCTTAAGATCTGAGGAAGCAGGGGAATACATGAGGCTTGGGCATGTTCCACCTCCTTCTGCACTTTCCCCTCTCGGAGCCCCTGAAGGTGGTGGACTCCGGATTCTGTTTTTTTTTCCGGTACTGGGAATCGAACTCATGACCTTGCACTTGCCAGGCAGGCGCTGTGCCTCTGAGCTAAGTCCCCAGCCCCGACTCTGGATTCTGAGGGGCACCCCTTCCGATCCACTTCTCCAGGACCTGTCACGATGAGATGCTCTGGGAACAGGAAGGAAAGATGGACTGTGTTCTGTTTTTTGTGTCTCCTGCCTCGAGCTCCTCCTTCTGTCCCCATCTGGTGTGTAAATGCGGGGGACACAGCTGTGGAGGACACGCGTGGTGTCTAGTTGAGACACGGGGACAGAGAATGCTATATTATTAGGACAGCGTGAACTCACAGCTAACACAATGCAACCTCTGCATAGCAAAATTGTCTGGAAAGAAAAGCAGAAAACTTGGATCATGGATACAGTGACATTGTAGCAAAGAAAGCAAAATGTTGAAGGCTTACAATGAATATTCCAAAAGAGAGGAAAAAAAGAGATGTGAACAACAAAGACAATTTGTTTCCCAACACCATATTTCTTTTTCTTTTCCTGTTCCGTTCTTTTTTTTTTTTTTTTTTTTTTTTCTCCGGTACCGGGAACCAAACTCATGACCTTGTGCTTGCCAGGCAGGTGCTTTTGCCGCTTTTTTTTTTTTTTTTTTTTTTTTTTTTTTTTTGCAAGAGCGGCACTGAGTTTATTGGCACAGCTGCGGTTGCCCCTAGAAGAGGGCGTTGGGCCTCTTTGTAGTGAAGCGGGGCTTGTGCTGGGGATGCAGGACCCGGTGGGGCAGCAGGAACTTGATCCTGGAGCCGTGGAACTGCTTGACAGCTGGGCGGCAGCACTTGCTGGCCGCGATCTCCTCCACCTTCATGATCTGATGGGCAGGCACGGGCACGGTGCCGGGCGCCCATGTCCCGGTAGCACTGGGTGACGGCGCCCGCCGTGGTCAGGTCACGGTACTCCTGGTACATACTGTGGGTGCCGCTGCGGGAGTCGTACTGCAACCAGATGCCGAAGTTCCTCACCCACGGCTGAGACTTCTCAGACACCTGTCCACGGTGAAAAATCTCCCCTGAGGATTTCTTCATCTTCTTCCGCTGGGACACGAAGTACCAGAAACAGGACTTGGCCACGACATGGTTGGGTGTGAAGATCCGCATGCAGCAGAGAGACGGCGTGTGGCACTTTGGCGTGGACAGGCAGCGCTCTACCACCTTGTACTCCCGGAGTGTGCCCGAGGTCTTCATGGCACTCCCCTCCCTATTGCCGCTGCCCACAAAGAGGCACAGCGCCACATTTCTAGAGATGCTTAGTAATGACTAATAAGTGAGCCAACAGGTTGGAGGACACTCAGCCAGATCAACATTCGTAGATGAGGCCAGACTGCTCCTAAGGTAGGCATGAGATAAATGCCAGCGTCTGGACCTGCACAAGCTGCATGCGCTTGGCCTAAGTGTTACTATGTGATCTTGGAAAGGGAAGACTTTTTCTTAAACTGGTTCAGCAATTAACAAGCAGCCTAAGCAGCTTTATTCATCTGTTACAATCAAACTGAACTGGAAGAAAATTTAAACTTGTTCCTGGACACACATTTCATGTATCCTTCTTCTAAACTTCCAAGGAAAAGTCATATCAGGGAAACTGGTTGCAGCCCACATCCTCACAGCCATGTGGCATTTGGACCAAATTCTTGTGACTAAGGAATTGTGTTTCTATCAAGAACAAGTGCAGTATAAATTATTTTCCAAACTCTGGTTCGCTATAGTTAGCAGAGACAGAATAATCCAAGAATCATGGGTATAGGTAACACACTCACAAACCCAAAGAATAAAGAAGTTCAGGAAAGTAGATATATTTTGAAAATGCTGAGTTTGACAATGATATACATTCTTCGGGACATGGGGAGATTGTTGAAATGATAATAAATAATAGAGAAATATAAGGGTACGAGTGCTAAAAATGATGACGCTGCAAACACACGAGGAAAAACTGGTGAAAATATGTATAGTAGTTATTGAGCTGGGTGACAGTTCTTGGGAGCAGGAAAGTGAAATGTTATTCTGTGCTTCTGGTAGACTTTGTTAGAGTGGGTAAGAGGGTCACAAGCAATTGAAGCAACTAATCATCAGAAGGAAAAAGTTAACATCAACTATGGTGAAAAAGAACAGTAAAAATTTGGGGAACAAATGTTTAACATATGCAGGTAATCGAAACCAGCAAGTTACCTCTTGTTGGCTGACATTCAGTCAGCGGCGGTGAGCGCAGAGCACGCGTGCCAGAGCCGCCTGTCACTGAAAGCTCTACAGAGTTCACCATCACTGAGTGCTAAGTGAGGGTGATAGATCAATAAATACTTTTCTGAACTGGTGCTTTAAGAATAATTATTTGTAGTCAGGAGATGAATTAGTAATACTTGCTTTTGAATATGTTCAGATAAAATGATATCTTCCATTCTGAAAAACATCATCTCAAAACACGCTGCTATAATTTTCAAATATTTGACTTAACTTAAAGGTCTCCTCTAACTTCCATTTTATTTCCTTTTGTGTGGGATATCCTTCCCTTGGAGTAAACATAATTCATGAACCCTTATACATTTTTGCAGCAGAATCAATTCCTGTCAGCTGGTATACCTGACTTTACCTTGAAATCAACACTTGATATTCTGGGAGAAGGACCGATGAAAGTATTCTAACAATCTTTACTTGCTTGAACTCATTAAAAACATGCAATATTAAAAAAAAATGCAGTATTTTAGGATGTCTAGCGACATTCTTTAAAATTTCTTTTTGGATTAAGTTAAATGAGGAAGAATTTTACATTGCCTTAAGGTCATGAAAAAGTCTCGAGTTAGAATTTATTAGTATGTGTTTAGTAGGCTTAAAATGCATCTGTAGCCCTTCATTGCAGCACTACAGCAGATACTTAGTAAATTATGTTACTGAGTGGAATTAAAGGATTCAGTGTTACAGATTCCAGCAAAATATCTCTATCTGTGAGTGAGAGTGTGTTTTCTCTCCTCTTCCAGTGTAACTAAGGAACTCTTTGTGATGTGGTTTGAGAACATTTAGTGCTCATTTATCATAAATATCTTGCAATATTTTTGGTATGTGTGTGTGTGTATACTAATCAGTTTATAGCAGCGTCTGGAAACTCCTTGTGGAGAAGCATCTGAGGCCACACGCAGGTTGGCAGCAGCTGCAGGGTTTCCTGAGAGGGTGTGTTTAACGGTGGAGAGGGGGCTGGGAATGTTCTTGGGGATGGAAATGTGCTCTTTGTGTCCTAAATACTGTAACTTTTTGAAATGTACTTTTAAAACTATTTATTTAATCATTTTACTTTGTTTTTATGTTCTCACTATAAAAAAAGTTGTAAATAAGTATATTCTTCCTCTGAAATAGAAAAAATTCTCAGTAAACAGAAGCCTATTTTTTGTACAAAGACATCAAATCATGCCTGTCCTTATACTGGTTTCCATGAAGAATTCTAGCAAGAAGTTTTGACTTAATTCTCTTAGGCAGCTACAGAAGTTGTCAGACCAGTTTTGTTTTTCTTTTCCTTTTTTTAGGTAGTTTGAAAAATTTCTTTGGTTGTCCTAAATTCACTAGGAGGGTTCTAATCTTCTGCTTAAACTCTACTGGGCTTCACTGTGGAGTATTTTTGAATATGTAAAACAGCACAAAGAAACTGATTTATCTTCTCCGCTTGTACCCTTTCAGAGCATACCACATTTGTCTCTTAAAGGTCAGGCATGAGAGAAACAGGCAATGTTTGTCACTTACCTTGTTTTCTCACTTGTTGAATTTTCATGTCTGAATTTTTTGGAAAATGCTCACATGCATTTCTGTAACTCCAACTACTCAGTTGCACAGTGTATGACTTACAGAGTCCTAGGACCTTGGAATACAAAGTACTCTTTGTATCCAAGATATTATTCATATTAGCAGTATCAGCAAGTTCAATCCCTTTTCTAATTAATGACTTCTACCAGTGTTTCAGAAATGGTCTTAATTCTAAGGTTAAACATAGTGGATTATAATTTGCCAGGAGCTTACTGAGATCTTTTTAAAAATCATATTTAAATTTGCATCTCTCTAGGATCTTTGTATTTTTTTTTTCCTCTCTCAAGAGAGCTATTAGAAATCTCCATTATTGGAATGGCAATCTCCAAGAAGGAGTAGCATGAGTGACCAGCTGTGATTAGAACAGCTAAACTTCAGGGGGAAAAACGGCCACTTTCATCTAATAAAGGGAGAGGAATTTTTTTTTTTTTTTTTTTTTTTACAAATACTACTTCTCATAACTGGGAAAATGTAGTAGTTAATGAAAGCACATAATTGCTAACAATAATTATTTTGAAACGGTAGCTCTGGGAATAGCTGAGTCTGTATGAATGAGGTAAGTACTAAGTAGCCAAGAGTATGTTTGAGTGGGGGTGCATGAGAAAAATAGTTGGGGCCAAATGCAGAGAAACTCACGTCAGCCGGAAGAAAGAACCTTGTAGGGAAGTTGCTCATGGCGTTCGCGGAGATAAATAGAAATGAGAAGGTAACATCAGATTTCTGCCTTTCCAGTGGTGGTTTATGAAATTCAGATACACACTGGCAAGAAGCTAGGGGCAGAAACGGAGTCTAACGTGTTCATCAACCTCATCGGCACCAGGGGCGACTCGGGGAAACGAAGGCTTCATCAATCTAAAGGCAACAAAGCCAGGTTTCAGCGTGGACAGGTAATGGATCTTCACCGGCGGTTCACCTACCACCCTTCCCTGACGTCTTTCTCGAGAAAAGGTACACAAGCAGGAGGTTCCATCATGCCGCTGTGGGGCTTAATCCCAAGTGTGGGAGCTTGGTGGCTTTTTGTTGTACATGGAGGTGAGCAGCTGTTGCCTCAGCCAGGCACAGTGCCGCAGTGAGCAAGTCCTTATTCCGTCTACTGCAAAACAATCACAACAAAACTCCCTGATTGGGGCTGGGGATTTAGCTCAGCGGCAAAAGCGCCTGCCTGGCAAGCACAAGGTCGTGAGTTCGGTTCCCGGTACCAGAGAAAAACCAAAAAAAAAAAAAAAAAAACAAAACTCCCTGATTCTGCTTCTAGATACAGGTAGCGGAGCATGACTAGCAACGTTTGATTAAACATCTTTGGAACTGGCTTTCATGCTCTTGGAGAGCTAAACGGGAAGACAGGCATTGCAGAGAGGGACCTGGGATTGGCTGAGCTCTCTGCCCCTTGTGAGCGGGTCAGGGCCGAGAAGCCAATCAGAGAGTGTCAGTGGGGCGTCGGAGACGCCGTGCGGAGTTGAGGCCATCTCGCGGGGCTGGGCTTCCGCCCCAGCAGGAAGTAGAGATCCTCATAAACCTGAGCTTGCAGACGGAGACTTTCCTGTGGGGCTCCCGGAGCGGAGCAGGACGTCGGCAGAAGAGAGGGCAGCAGGAGGTAGGGTGAAACATGAGAGAATGAAGAAGTCACCAAGGGCCGACGCACTGTGCGTTCTAGAGGCTGCGCTGCCAGTGTGGGGCCCGTTCCCCAGGACCGCGCTGCACAGACGGGGCCCCAGAGTGATTAGAGCGGCCTTGGGAGAGAGCCGAGGCGGCGGACAAGCACCGGCAGCCTCTCTGTCTGCTGCCATGGTTACTCGATGGCACAGCGGGCGCTGGGCAGACAAGGCAGGACCTCTACATGGAAATTATAAAATATTATTTGAACACCTAAAAAGATATAAATTAATAGAAAGATATGCCATATCCCTGTATTGGAAGACTCAACATTACAAAGTACTCATTTCTGTCTAATTGATCTATAGTTTTAATGCAAAGGCTGTCAAAATCCCAGGAAGATATTTTTAAAATAGAAATTGCAATCTAATTCCAAAACATATGTGGGAACGTTAAGAGCCAAGGGTACCTAAAATAGTTTTAAAAAGAAAAAAGTTTGGAGGAATTACAGTGCCAGGTATCAAATATGATAAAGATAGAGTAATTAAGAGACTATCAGCTTGTACAGAGCAGAACGGAGCAAAGAACAGCGGAGTCCAGAAACCTGCACATATTTTGATGTGAAGCATTGAAGACTGTCTTTCCAATAAATTTTTAATGTGACCTGAATATCATTATAGTTAAAATAAGACAGTGACCCCTATTTTATACCAAACTACAAAGTCAATTTAGTGCAAATTTATGTCTTAATGTGCAAGCAAAAAAATCTTGAAGATAACAGAAAGTCTTTATGATCTTGGGAGTAAACTAGTACTTAAAAGTTTTTAAATTGTCATAAAATACACATGACATAAAATACATTGTTTATTCTACTTTCTGTCTCCATGAATTTGACCATGTACCTCATTTAAATGAAATAATATTTGTGTCTTTTCTTCTGCAAATGACTAATTTCAGTTAGAATAATAATCCCAAGACTCATGCATATTGTAGCATGAGACAGAATTTCTTCCATTTTCAAGGTTGAATAATATTCCATTGTATGTATATGCATTTTTCTTATCCATTTATCTATCAGTGCACACTTGGATTGCTTCTTTTTTTTTGGTTGTTGTGTATGATACTACAATGCATGTGGGTGGGTGAACATAGATTAATATCTTAAAGGTAAAAATAGAGACAGCACTAAGCATAAAGAAAAAAGATCAATTAACACTATTTTAATATGAAATATTTTTGCTTCTCAAGACACCACTGAGAGAGTAAAAGGCTAGACACAGAGTGGAAGAAGATCTCATAAACTATGATCGACAGATCACTTGTTTACAGATTATGAACAGACACCCACAGATTAACAAGAAAGGGACAGATAAGCCAGTTTAAAATGTGGGCATGACTCTCGATTGTGCTTTACAGAACAGGATATGCAAATTGTCCATCATCATGAAAAAATATACCTTACCTTCCTAGTAGTCAAGAAAATACTGTGAAAACTTGCTGTATGAAGTCTTGCTGTATATAATCAGACATCTGAATTAAAAGTGTTGACAAGAATGAGGGCTGATTAGCCCGTGCAGCACTTAAATCTGTACTGTGCATACAGAACACTGTTGCACAAGCACTTTAGAAAACTGAGATTATTCAGGAAAACTAAACATATGTATGGGGACCATGTAATTTAATTGTTCCCCGAGAGAAATGAATGCAAACATCATGAGAAGACATGATCAAGAATATTTTGAGAGCCATTAGCTTAAAAATAGTATTGTCACTAAGTAGTGAGTGGATAATTTGAAATAATATTTAAATAATGAAAATGACTAATATGAAATGGAACAAAATGCCATTATATAAAACAGCATGAATGAATGTCACATAGGGCAGGCAGGAAAAGAAGACACTGTGATTCTGTTTCCAGAAGGTTCCAGACCAGGCAGAACTAACTGAGAGTGTTGAAAGACAGGCTCGTGGATACCACGTGGGGACACGGCGAGTAGGAAGGGGGATGACAAGGCCTTGGGTGCAGACAGTAACACTCCGTTACTTATGTGGGGAGGAGGGTTGTGATCCCTTTCCTTCTACACCACGAGGATCACAGCTGCCACTCCCCATACAAAAGATAGGTTACCAAGAGAACAAGATAACATATTTATTTAATTAAAGTTTTAAGTGACACGGGCATGTTCAGAAATGAGCACCCAAGGACCTGGGGAAAACTCCGTTTTTATTCTTAGATTCAGTTAAGAATGGTCAGCCATGTGGACTGGCGGAAGGGTCTGGCCTGGTGGTCATCGCTGGAAAGGGCAGCCCAGCACAGCCTGTCTGCTCCAGAGCTTCTTGAACTCTGTGTATGGCACCCCTTTCTCTCAAGTCTGGGTCACACCCCTCTGGACTGGGGTTCTAATGTACAGCTGATAAGATAGGCTATTTTTTCATGGTTAGTGCTTACACGGAAAGGTAGGAGAAGGTAATTTTCTAGGTTCTATGGCTTGCTTTGGGGGAGAGAAGTTCTAGTTTCCATGACACCTCTTCAGAAGGAATTCTGACTTCGATGGCTACTTTAGGGAGGAAGGAAGAGCAAGAGACAGGAAGGCAACAGGAAGTCAAGGAAACGTGCATCTAAGGCTGCTCCCGAGGCCATCCTCGTTCTCTTCGTTCAAAGGACTCGGCGTGCCAAAGTGCCTCTTTTCGGGTACTGGGTTCTGAGCCCCGGCAGTTACATACATGTGTTCACTGAGTATGGGCTGGTAACTTTTTTCTTTTGTGGTGCTGGGGATTGAATCCATGGCCTGTCTTCAAGGCTGTACCCTGAGCTACACCTCCAGCAGTACATTTGTGACTTGTACACTTTGTGTTTCATAGTTTATTACAGCATTTCATATAGGCACATATACATATTCGAATACATAGTTTATCTGAAAACAGAAGATACATAGAGACAAAACAGTGGAAAAGTCCTTGGAAGCAGCCTCCTGAGGGTGAGTCCAGCTCTGTCACCCACCAGTCGCTGATGTGGGGCATGTCACTCAGCTAATGTATTTGTCTTTTCCTCTACAAAGTGAGAAAGTGAGAAGAATTCACCCCCATGGCTTGTTCTGAGGGTTAAATAATTAACTTGGGAAAACACTTCGAAGAGTTTAGCACACAGTCAGGATTATATGAACTGTTATTACCACAAATGACAGTAGATTCAGGATAAATGTCCTCATTAATTCTTTAAAATATTTTTTATGCAACTATATGATTGACAAGGAAAGCAAGACTTCTATGCTATGTGCTTGTGTCTTTCACAAAACATAGTGTAGAATTTTGCTCATAAAATAATAAATAGCAATTTTTAGTGCTAACAATAACAATGTATGGCTAACACATAGCAATATGATATTGACAGTGGTACTACCATTATCTAGAGAAAAGAAACATGCCGATAGTCACTAGTTTTTTCTTTGTTGTACAGATTGATATTTTTTCCATTAAGGCTGTATCTCTTGGAACACTGAAGAAAGTTCTGATTAGTCATGATGGTACAGGTCCAGGTAAGATTTGGTTTCTTGGTAAGACATTGATTTTGCAAATTAATAAAAAATAATATGAAGGCAGGTGAAAGAAAGATGTATAAATCACATAAAGCTGAGAAAACAATTTTCTTTAAAGAAATTACACTTACATGAATTTTTGCCCAATTAGTTTTATCATATGACTTACAAAGGAGACCTGTTATGTTATTATGAAGGAAATTTCCTAGGAATACAAAAGCTGTGTGTGTGTGTGTGTGTGTGTGTGTGTGTGTGTGTGTGTGTGAGAGAGAGAGAGATGGAGACAGAGATAGACATAGAGATCTCCAGATCTCCTGGGCTATATACTGTACTCACAGGTACAGTTCTGCTTCTCTCGTCAGCAAACCAGCACCTCAGGGATCCTCCTGGGCCCTCCCTCCCCGCCTTGACCCTGCCCCTTACCTGGTGACTAAGTCCTGTCAATTCTACTGAATGTCTTTTTCCGCTATCTCTTTAGCACTGTTTAATTGAGACTTTGGTATGTTTGACTCTACAACCTACAGTCTTTACACCTTCCATGCAACTGTACTTTAACATATTACAGTAACAAAACCATTTGTTATATCTACTTATCTACTCCCTTTTTCTTTGGATGGATTTCGATTTTTGAAGCCCGGAATTATGTATCATTTATCTCTACTCTCCCGGTACCCGATGCTGTGTAGAGGAAACAGTGTATGACCGTAGGGGGCGTCGCGGTGCACCGTGCTGCCGCTGCGGGACGCTGTCCCTGGAGTGCGCGTGCGCTGCGGAGCAGAGGACCCCGGAGAGAACCGCGCCTTTCCGGTTCTCTTCCTGATGCGTGGAAACTTACATTCTGATTCCCTGCTCTTTGCCGAGGTCTTCCCTGCGCTCAGGGCCTGAGTTGGCAAAATCGCTCACCAGAGTCAGGGCTGTGACTTTGGCATGGGTCAGAACAGAGCAGTTGGAGGAAACCTAGACTGTAGTTCTTCAAATTCACTGGGAGCCTCCTCTTGGCGATGAGGGTGGAAGGTCTGTCCCAGACTCGAACGGAGCAAAGTGGGGAGGCTACTGAACCAGCACAGCCCCGGCGGCCTGCGACTGTCTCTCTCCAGTTTAAGGGAGCAGCAGCAGGGATGTACTTTAAGGGGTGAGCTATGAAAATGAAAGCGGCAGAAGGAAGAATGAAGGGGCATTGTGATTTTAAACACGTTTATAGACCTGAATTCCTCACACAGAAAAGGCGTTTGACGGAGAGAGCAACAGACTTCTAAAATATTATTTTCGGTGAAACATTCATTCATTCACAAAAACCTGCTGCAAGTATGGAAAAGAATCCTGTGACATTCTCAAGGCTTTTTTCTATTCATTTTTTGAAAAGAAGCCACACAAAACATTATTCTAACGCGAATGCAGTTTGCCTATAGAATCTGACGAAAAACAAAATAGTAATCCCCAAATTTGCAGCAAACTGTACAATGTAAGAATAGCAATTATCTGAGGATCTGAAAGTATATACTTGGACTCAACCCCAGAGATTCTGACCCCGGAGGTACTGAGTAACCAGAAGTGCAGTGCTTTTCCGTTATTTTTAATATAAGCACCAGAGGGGATTTTGGTCCAGGAAATCTTTGGACCAACTCTCAGTTCACGAGTTCTTTGTTAAGGGCGCCAGTGTGCAGGCAGTTTGCCGGGAGCTGGGCTTGTAAAGGTGGAGAGATGCAGATGGTCTGATCCCCTCCGCAGGATCTAATGGTAGCAGAAAAAAAATGAAATATTTTTTGTTATAATAGCGTGCAAGAAATATTTTGAATATGATCATCAGAGTTTTATTGTGCCACTTGGTAAGGGGAATCTACTGAGTTCCGAAGAACGTGAAGACTCCTCAGGAAAAGATTAGGCCTGGGAAACCTGATACGTAGGCTGGGTTAACTTCTAGGGATTGCCTGATTATTTGGGAACTTTGACGAATTTCTCTGGGTGATGGAATTAGGCTATTTCAAATACAAAGAAAGTTAAAAGTAAGTGCTGTAGCATGATTTCAAAATTCTTTAGCTAGATTGTCCTTCCTATATTCTCACACATTTGACTAAAAGAAAAACAGTGTCATAACAGAATCTCTAAGCTATATTTTTCCCTGTTTTTTCAAAATGTATACTGTGCAGTGTCTGGTAGTGCACCACTTTAACTCAACCCCAGAAAATTACTGTGATTTTAAGCATATCCACCCCGCAAAATCCCAGTGATTTCATACTGTTCTTCTTTCATCGCCTATCTTCTCCCTCAAAGGAGTCATCCTGAAATTTTTACAATCATTTTGAATTTTAAATATCTTTGTTTTAAAAAAGGTTTTGCTAATAATGTGAACATCTTTGAGCATACTTTTTGAAACATATGTTTGATGGTTTTTGTGCTTTGTAAAAACTATGATGTGCTATATGAAGTCTTTTGTGGCTTGATTTTTTTCCTACTCAAGTTTGTGTTTCTCAGATTCATTCACTTCTACTTGTACTATAGATATTTTCTTTTCACAATTGTGTAATATTCTATTGAGTGGTTATGCATAATCTATTTACCCTTCCCTTGTCAATGGATAATTGTGTTGTTCCCAGGTCCACTGTCACAAACAAGCTGAAATGAACTTGTCATGTCTTATAGAAATCAAAGATCTATACCTTCAGAGTGAATTTGCCAACCCCATCCAAACCCTGGGCATTTGGCCATGTGTGAATACTTTTTGGTTGTTACAACTGATAGAAGTGCTACTAGCAAGTAGTAGGTAGAGACCTGAGGTGCAGCTAAACAGCCTACAATGCACAGGATAATCTCTTAACAAAGAATTGCTGGGCTCTTATACCAATAGTGCTGAGGCTGAGAAACCTGCCCTAAGGTCAGTTTGTGGAAGTCAGCCATTAGGTTGAAGAACATGGTCATGTTCAGCTTTGTAAGATAAACCCAGTTATTTCAAAAGTGGTTGTACTAAGCTTTACTCTTACCTACTATGTAGAGGAATTTATATTGTGTCAGGTTTTCATCAGCGCCTTGTGCATCTAATTTGCCCCCTTATTTACGGATGTGAAATGGAATCTTGTAGTAGCATTCATTTATATTACTCATTTCTAGGAAGTGTGACTATGTTTCCATCTTTTCACTGTCCACTGAATTTCTTCTTCTGTGGAAAATCACATTCTTTATTATTTAAGGTAAAGGCAGCAGTCCTGTAGGGGAGGTGTGCAGTTGTGATGGCTCAGTTTAGTGAGCCACTGAAGATCAGGGTCCTTCCATACCCAGCATCAGTCTTCCATTACCTCAGTCTCACACTCCCCTGTGTGATCAGAGCTGCTTGTAGCACACAGAAAAGAAGGAAAGTCCCTCGTAATGATGTCATTTAAGCAGCTGAGATGGAAACCACCAAACTTCTGGCCACAGTTCATTTCTGAGAATTTAGTTACATAGTTCATGAATAACTCCAATACATCTTGAAGATGACAGTTGTAGCACTGAAGAGAGGTCAGATAGGGGAGAGCAAGCAGTAGTGACTGCCCCAGCGCCTTTTCCTGTTTGTGGTATGCCAAGGATTAAGATTCTTGATCATAATGTCACTGAATTTAATGGAATGATTTTAAAATAAATGATCTATAGATTTTCCATCTCAGTTAAGAAAATCTGTATCCTAGAACACTCTAGATAGATAGATATTCATATATAGATATTTTAAATCTTGTCTTTAAGATTTAAATATTTACTCCATCTGCAATTGGTTTGTTATATATGACGTGAAGATGAAATCCACTATTCTTTTTTTTCCATGTGGCTAACCCATTGTACCATATGGAACAACTGTTAAATCAGTTACTCTTTACCTGAGTGTTCTTTAAAGTCATCTTAATTGTAGGCTAGTAGGCTTTGCTCTTCATGGTTTCTGTTTGCACAGATTTTAGTTATGATGATTTGCTGCTAACTTCTCAGTTCATAAGTTATTACATGAATACTGATCAGTGAACAATTATGTCATTGCTTTCAAAGTGTGGCGGTTGGTGATAGGTCACTATGCGGCTATTAAGTTCTGCATAGACAGCAAAGCACAAACTCTATCTACTTGTGATGAGCCCATAAGATGGTTTATATCAATATCTAATTGCAAGATGAAAGTGCCTCAAAGAAGTAAAAAGTAATAATGATAGAAGTGAAGTTGAAAATAAATGAAGTTGTATAAGAAATCCCAGCCTGGAGAATGCTGACATTGCCACGGTTAGGCAGCTGGAGGAAGCCACAGGAGGGACTGAACACCAGGAATGAGGACAGTGACCATGACCAGGGGTAACAGCGTTGGTTGAAACTTTACAATAAAAGAGCTCTTACAGGGTTTTATGACATTGAAAACACAAAGGATAAAGTACTGGGGCTGACCCAAACTTAGAAAGGAGTTTGGGAATTTGCTAAGGCACAGAAAAGATGATTATTCTATGTTGTAAATTATAGGGCTGGGGATATAGCTCAGTGGCATAAGCACCTGCCTGGCAAGTGTAAGGTCCTGAGTTTGATTCCCGGTACAAAAAAAAAAAAAAAAAAAAAAAAAAAGTTGTAAATTATAAGACAAGAGAAAGACAGCAAGAGCCAGGAGATGTTGCTCAGTAGTAGAGTGAGTGCCTAATATGTACAAAGCCTTGAGTTTGATACCCAGCACAACACACACACACATACAAAAGAAAGAAAAGGTGAAGCGTGAAAGAAAAAGACAGAGAGAAACGAAGGGAGGGAGGAAAGGCTGGCAAAGGATGTTCAAATGATTACTGAGGTGTTCTTTAAACTCTTCTAATGATTTAGATTATTGTGTACTAAATACTACTATTTTTTTCATTTTCATACACATTTTTAACTGACAGTAAGAATTTTTGATGTTTTGATAGAAAGGTTCAGAGGTCAGCAGACATTTTTAGTTTTGCCTGCTGATGTCCGGGATCACTTGGCACGGCTGTGCTTGCGACCCTCGGTGTGGCTCCCTGCTCCCGTGTGGAGTGGCGCTGCCTGCGTGCAGTGTGTGGGGGGGTAGGTCGGCTTTGAATCCGTAGTAGTTTCTCGATGACAGCTCCAATTCTGCATTGCCTTCAGTTGTGTAGATTTATAATAAATTTTGATAACTAATAGGATGAACCCCCTACCTTACTTTTAGTTTAATTACATTGAAGTTTTAGATTAGCTTATGAAAACCTGACGTTTCTACAGTGCCTTTCTGTTAATGAATATAGGCTAGATAGCAGTTTGCTTATGCCTTCCTTGCTGACATTTAGTTTTTCTATACATTATACTACGTTTTATATTTACTCATAGATTCTTAAATTTTTACAGCCTTTGGACAGTGTAACTTTCATTGAATTGTGTTTTTAACTGCTTCTTTCTAGACAATAGAAAGGCACTGTACTTTTATGTTTTTATCATTTATCTAACCATTTTTCTCATTTTTCCAGTTATACTAGTTTCTTTAATTTTCTTTGGGTTTTTAATTTATTAAGTCATATCATGGGTGAATAGTGGAAGTTCTGTTTCTTTTTTCCAATACATTATTTTTCTTTCCCATTTCCTTCATTCCTTTTTCCTTCCTTTCTTCTTTCTCTTCTCTCTCTCTTCTTTCCTTAATTCATTTTTCTTTCTTTAGTTTCACTGACAAGCGCAGTAATCAGTGACAGCGTCTGAATCTTCACCATGAAGAATGGTTGACTGTATCTCCCCTTACTGTTTAAGCATGTCAACCTTCTACACCTTAATATAGTTGAAGTACAGTTGTATGATTTACTTCTTTCTTCATTCGTGTTCATGTGAATTTAACAGTTTTTTAGAACTTTATAGAGAGTTTTTGTTTTTAACAGGAAACCTCTTTGTCTCTGCTTTGAGTTCTCTGAGTGATGAGGTCACTCACACTGCTTCCATTTCTCTACTAATAATACGGTTTGGATCTAGATGTTCCCCCAAAGCCTCGTGTAGTCACAGATAGGGTTTTCCAGAGGTGGCTGGATCTAGTATGATGCTGAGGTCAAGGGTGTGTGATTACTAAGTTAGTCCACTGGTGGGTCTGGCCTAGTTCTGGGTGGGGATGATGGGAAGGCCCGCCCTGGGTGTGAGTGCTGCCTGCCCTAAGGGCGGTAGGGTGGATAGGCTAGAAAGGACAGAAAGAAGGCTGCTGTTCTTGCTTGTCACTTGCTGCTCACTGCTTTTGCTGCCTTCTGCCTGGCATGAACCATTTCTCCTCTGTGATGCCGGTCCACCATGCCACGCTGCCTTGGAGCCAGCCGATTAGGGACTGAAGCCTCTACAAACTGTGAGCTAACTAAACCTTTCCTCCTTTAACTTTGTGTATTGGGTATTTTTTCTCAGCAATGAGAAAAGTAACTAAGACAGTTAGTATAATTTAGATGTGTATTTTTTTTACCCAAGTTACTTGACAAATGTACTTTAAAGAGAATATCTGAAGACTATAAACCAATTCACAATCAGTATATTTTATGCTGAAGACTTAGTCAATGTTTGTCAATTCATACAGGTAATGGATGGTTTCTTGAGAATATTGTTGTTAAATTTGAAGAGGAAGATAGAAGTCAAAATGTGCTGTTTCCTTGCAACAGGTATGTGTTATCATTATGCGAAATTAAGTGAGGTCGTTATGCTTCCTTTGACCCAGGGTATCCCAGCTGTGTCCTCCCCGCTACCTCTTCCCAGCTTTGGAACCCCATCATTCCCTGCCATGTTTAAGGACCCAATCCACAAAAAGGCATCTGACATGAATACATATTTCTCAGATGAAGAAGTAGAAACAGCAAATAAATATATGAAAAAATGTTCAACATCACTGGTCACCCAAGAGATACAAAGTAAAACAACACTGAAACTCCATCTCACCCCAGGCAGAATGGCTATCACCAAGAGATCAACCAAAAGCAAATGCTGGAGGGGCTGTGGGGAGAAAGGGACTCTTCACTGCTGGTGGGAGTGTTGGTGGGAGTGCACCCACTGTGGAAATCAGTGTGGAGCTTCCTCAGAAAACTAGGATTAGAGGTCCCATTCAACCCAGCTAGTCCCCTTCTGGGTATATCTCAGGAAGAATTAAACCCAACATTCCACAGCGATACATGTGCACCCATGTTTACAGCAGCACAATTTGTAATAACTAAATCATGGAAACAACCCAAATGCCCATCAGATAAAATGATATGGTCTTTTTATACAGTGGAGTACTACTCAGCCATAAAGAAAGTTAAACTTGAGGCTTTTATAGGTAAATGAATGCAACTTGAAACGATACTCATAAGTGAAATAAATCAGACTCACTAGGATTGTCTCCTAGTGTGGGAAATTGAAACAGTAAATAAGTTCCAAAATGTACAAAAGAGATCATGAAATGGGAAGAAACTGTTCAAAAAATAGAGGAACTGGGGTGGGGGAAAGGAGAAAGGAAGAAAGAGAAAAAGAAAAAAATACAAGATCGTTATACCACTAGTTTCTCTTAGTTCACTGAAAATAAAGGTTTTTGCTGATACCTTTGGACAATTTTTCATGCCTATATCTTGGACTCTGAGGAACTACTTTGAAGGTAATAATATGCAATGTATTAACTGTCATCATTCTCCTATTATTTTGTTTTGAAATTTTGTTTTATTTTCCCATAAAATAAAAAAATACACTAACAATAGAAAATATAAAATGAATTTGCATCCGTTATAAATTAGTCTATAGAATATGCTGGTTAACTCATTCAGTCCTCATGAAAAAGAAGTGGAATACACAATGGAGATTCAGCAATAAGGCACATCAGTCTCTCTCAAGAGCTATCCATAGCTTCCCTCATGGCACCGTGTTTGCATCCTGAGGGCCAGGATAGAGAGTTACATATGCAGTATGGTCCCAGGTGTTAAGCTGCTACATCCATGTGATTGCATGTTCCTTGTATCTAGAGAATTCATGTGTGGGACAGTGCATATTAATCTAGTTGTCTATCTATTCATGCAAAAGTATTGCATTTCTGCTTGATGTCAGGCACTCTACCAATTTCTGGATCTACAGAGATAAAGATCAAGATCCCTGGTTTCAAAGCGCGTCCCTGTGGTGGTAGGTAAGGGAGGGCAGATGTTTCTCAGTGAAGCTGAAGACCCGGATGTGCTCTGAATTCAGCAGGTGTCTTGCCATCGCTGCTCCCTGAAGTGAGGTATACTCTTTCAGACCAGCACAGAAGCACAGTGGTTGACTGACTGGATCTTACTTTGCTATTTTTGTTTCTAGGAAATATCCACTCTTGTGAAATTTAATAATTCACTCCATTCTCTGCAAACAAAATTTATGAACACTGTTCTGATCTGTTTGTTTTTTATTTGTCAAAGTTCATTCATTCAAAAACAGAAGGACAAATCAGAAACAAAACTTTGTAAATAAGGAAGGATAGAGGGGTTGAAGGGAAGGGAAGAGATTGGGCAAAGAAGAAGAATTAAGATACATCATGTACAAGTACAAATTCCCTATGGTGAATACTATCATTATGTATATATAAATTGTACCAATAAACTTAGTAAAAAAATAAAATGCAGATATGCAATATAGGTATTGCCATTTCATAAATTTTAAGCTCTGAAAATGAACCATATATTTTTATTTTTGCAAGTAATCTTTTAACTAAAAAATGAAGGTTGAAAAGAGCAAAGATTTTCATTTTTCAGAACTAGATTTGAATTACAACTCCCTACAGATGAACTCTCACAACTTCAGTTTATTCTTACGTGAAATAATAGTAATGATACCTATTCCGCAGGATTATTTGAAGAGTTCAAATAATATCTACATAATATGGGCAAAAATGTCCTGCATCTCGCAGAGGCTGCAGGGTGGTAAATGTCATTGTCACAATTTCAAATTGAAGGAATACTGAGACACAAGCCCATGCATGGAGGTGATGAGAGAAAAGTCACCTTTATTTCTAAATCACACATAAGTACTTAGAATTTTCCAACTAATTGACTAACTTTTATTTTTTAATAAATCTAGTATCTATGTAATCTAATATGGTAGCCATTAGCCACATATGGCTAATTAAATTCAAATTAATTAAAATAAAATCAAACTAAAAATCAGTCACTTGGTTGCACTAGCTCAATAGACACAGATGGTGAGAGGCTGCTCTACTGGCCAGTGTGCACACATTTGATTCTGTATCACAGGCACGGTCTGGCGTCACACAAAGCCGTGTTTCATATTATACAATGTAGTTTCATTTCAACATGATGGTGACTATGAAATAATGTAAGCAGGAAATGAAATATGATTCTCTTTCTAAATGCATCACATTTAACAAAATTCAGTATCAGTCAAAGTGGGGAATAATGTCATATTAGCTTCATAGCCAGAGTCAATTTCACTGGCAAGACAAAAGCATACAAAATCAAGGTGGAAGTCGCTGATTCCTACCTTTCAGAATAATGACAACCTTGGAATGGAATCTATGGGAAATAAATGATGCAGATGAAGATGTTTTATTGTATCACACTGCGTGATATTGAACACTGCACGCAAGCATACCATTGCACTGCTATCATTAATGCAATGATGGCAATTTAAAGTTTTCCTTGATCCTTTATCTGAGGGCCCATGGTTAGATAAATATGGAAAGAGAGTTTTCCTGGTATTTCATCCAAGGTAGGAAAAGCCAGGGATTACATTTAGTCCTGTGCCTCATTTAACAGAAAAACAAAAACAAAACGAAGCAAAGCAAAAGCCAAATTGATGTCTGCGAGGTGAATGACATGCCAAACTAAGAGAAGGTGCCTGGAGTGCGGGGTCTGTGTGTCGCTTGGCCCTCGGAAGGATTTTAATCCATGATCCAGCAACCTGTTGTTTCCATAACATTGCCGTGCCTTTGTGAATTACCCTTGAAGGCAGAGATGCTGGCACAAAATGCTGTATTTGCTGTAAAATTGGTCAGAGTATTCTACTTCGATTTTGGATACTTTAGAATCTGGTTTTCAGCCATGTTTGTGAGCTGTTTAAAATTCAAGACTCCTGCTAATCATGAGAAGAAAAGATCTCTGAGAAAGAGATTATGGGTAAGTTTATTGCAGAGGTAAACAACAGCAGAGGGGTCTCTTCGTGTCATGGTGCCTGCAAGGTTCGCACGGCTGTCTTCTCTGCTGCTGCTGGCGGGAAAGTCAGAGCGGCGTCCACAGCAGCACTTACTGAGCTCTTACGTAGGAGCGGGCATCACAGAGCACTCAGAACTGCACATACGAACTCGTTGCATCCTCTCGGCAAACCTGTAGGTGGGCTCTGAGATATTCCTGCTTCCCAGACAAGGAGGCGGGGGCACAAAGAGGATTCATTGCTTACCCGACCTAATTAGTGGAGACAGGATTCAGATAAAGGCACGTCCAGCTGCAGAACTCTCCAGTCCCACATGCGAGGCAGAACCGTGTGTATCTACTACACTTGCAGCTGTGCCTCATCTGAACTAGACGCGCTGTAGGTGTAAGACACACACTACATCCCAAAGATGTAGCCTAAAAAGTCATGTCACACATCTTATATTGATTGTTGGAATAATCTTTGAAATTATGAAAATGAAAAATTTTAAAATTAATTTCGCCTCTTTTCTGTTCTTTTTTTTTTTTTTTTTTAACAAAGTGGGTCATGTTTTATTTTCCTTTCAGGGTACTTTAATAGAGTCTGAGAGTTTGGCCACTTTCTGTATTTGCCGGTCAGTCATATGACAGTAGAGATAAAATCTACCACAAAGAACACTCTAAATGAGAGATATTTTTTCACTTGCAGATATTGTAGAGTGTTTGTAATGTTGTCAAAGAGTTTTTCTACAAATCAAAATTTTGGAGTGGAGCAGTGTGACTCGGCAACTTGCATGTAGGGCAAAGGTTTGCGGGAAAGACAGTTTGGTGTAACTTGAGATCTTAAGTGCTTTTGAAATAGTGTGAGCGTCTCCTTGAAGTCCTCCTTAATCCGTTCTCTATTTTGCTTTCCTCACTGAGAGAAAAGCTTTTTTTAGGACTCTCTGTCATCAGTTATTTCCTCTCCTTCCCTGCAGATGGCTCGACGAGTACCAGGATGACGGCAAGACGGAGCGGGAGCTGCTGGCGGAGAGCGGCCCCAGTGCTGGTGGAGGGGTGGGGTCCGCCGTCTCCTGAAAGGACACGTTGAAGTTGTCACTCCACCCTGCTCCCTGTGGCTAGTGATCTGCTTGTGACCACCTGTTTTCTCTCTGCTTGAACTGGAGCAAACACCTGGGCAGAGTCCGCTGGGGTTGGACATGTTTTCTGCTCTTGAGAACTTAGGAAGTTGGGAGAACAGCTCAGAACCATCAGACGACAACGGACCGAGCTCAGCCTGCACTGTCTGGGGTGCATATTTGCTGTGCTCCCTTCTCCCCTACTTTCCTCTCTTCTATTTCACCCTGTGCCTTCTTCCTGCTTCTTTGTGAAAATCAGACAACTGTCAGTTTACTGAACCACCGTACTGAAATGTCTAGATTGCTACCCTTCATAGGTGAGTAACTACAAAGGTACGGAAAACACGTGATTAGTGTGAAAGGCTTTTATGCCACATGTTAATTTCAAAGTGGAAGTCTTCATCTCAGATGATGGTATGTTTCTCTCAGTATTTTAGTAATTTGAATAAGTCGATGTAAAATGAAACCAATCAGTCGAATTACTCGGTGTTCCCCTGTCCTCCTCACTGGGCTTTGTGGGACTGGGCTTCTCAGAGCCAGTCAGTGGGACCGCAGGCGGATAGCAACAGAGCACCGTACCAGGAAAGAGTGTGGAGGGAGACACCCAGCAGGCGTTAGTCCCTTCCCCGTGAAGCCTCAAATATTTGTCAGTGTGGTGCCGCAGGCAGCTTCTTCCCATCCTTCAGACTGGCACATGAGATAAAACCCATCTGCAGTCACAGGAGAGGTCTTGGCACGGCTTTTCATACCAAAAGTACCTGCACTGCATTCTAGTATTTTCTGTTTTGGGTTTTTTTTCCGGTACTGGGAATTGAACTCACTACTTTGCACTTGTCAGGCAGGCGCTGTGCCGCTGAGCTAAATCCCCAGCCCTCTGCATTTCATTCTAAATTCTGCTACCATGAGGTAGATATGTCCATTATCCATGTTTTGCAGATGAGAAAGGCTGGACTTTGAAGGCTAACTGATTTGCCTCACTCAGAGAGGAAAACAGAGAGAGAGCTAGGATCTGAACCCGGGTCTCGCTTCAGCCTGGGGACAGACACAGAGTTCCTGCCTGCTCCTCTGTCTCCGCCACTGGCTTTCAGTGTCCCTCGAGGGGAGGAACCTGAATTTCACATCTTATACACCGCCTTCATGACTTTGTCCTATCCAGACACCACTTGTGCTGTTATAATCGTGACTCTTTTCTTTAAACTGTGTTTAAATAAGGTTATTTAGGGGTGGAAGACAGCTTAGCCTCATCCCAAACCACATGGATACTATCCATGAAATCGCTGATTTAATATGTCATCACATTTTTCTCTAAAACACATTAAAATGAATTTATACTCAGTAGAATTCTTGATTAACCTATGTGCTACTGAAAATTATGAACATCCGGTTGTGCACATTTTGTAGTTAGGCAGACTAGTGCATATAAAATGAGAATATATGTATACAGACATTCTGAGGCTAGCGTGTAATGATCAAAAGTGACAATTCAGTAGAAGAAGCTACCATTACCTTTTACTAATGTTACGCTAAGGATTGCTCCAGTCCTTAGAAATGGTATATCTGACATCTAAAAATGAGCCCACATAATAAACAGAATTTTGGTGCTCCCAGCTATAGCTTAGATTGACATTGTCCCCCAGATGCCTGGTTAAAGCTTAGTCCCCAAGCTGGAGCTGTTGGTAGGTGGTGGGAACCTTAAGGGATGAGGCCTTGCGGCAGGTCTTTAGGTCTTGGGGGTGTGTCCGTGAACAGGGCTGTGGGATGTAGTCCCTTTCTCTCTCTCTCCTTCACTTACCTGTTTGCTTTGCTACGTGCTCTGGCCATCATGTCTTTCCGAAGGCACAAGGCAATAGGGCAAATCCATCATGAACCCAAACCTCTAACACCATAAGCTGGAATAAACCTCACTCTAAGCTGATTATCTCAAGTGTTTATCATAGTAACAGAAATCCAACACAAAACTTGTTTGTAAAGTGGCTACCTTATTTTGAAGGTAAAAATAATAACGGTTGCATCCAGCTGTGGTAAAAGCTCAGAGAATCAGTGTTAGCCCTTGATGACAATTATTTCATGATTCCTAGCACAAGGCAGACACTGAATCATAAACACATTTATTTAGCAGAGGTTGTTAAGGATCTCCCATGTGCTAGACACAAAATCATACACTGCAAATAAAATGGCAAACAGAATTTTCTTGCCCTCAGAGGCGCTCAAGAACTCGTGTGTCAACACAGAGCAGGAACACTTTCTGCTGGACTGCAAGCCCTGTGGAGACAGAGATGACTTTGTGCTCTACTTTGAATATTTGGTTCTTGGCATAGCACCTGTCTCATAGTAAGTGCTCTGTGTCTGTTAGATGCATGAATCATCTTGGGCTTGCAATGAGAAGCACCTCCTTAGTGGTGAGAACACTGCATTGTGGAAGGTACAGCGCCTTCTGTACAGAGTAAATGCTCATAAATAACTGCACTCAATGCCTCGATTGTAATGAGCAGTTCTACAACAGTGTGTTGTAATTCTGAACATAACCCTACCCCACCCCACAAAGACTGAAGTTGGAAGCGTCCCAGTTCTATTCAGGAACAGACTTCATCTGGTTTTTGAGGGGGGCGATGGTGTAAACAGTGATTTGACCCAGTTTGTATTCATTTTTATTTATATTATTTTCTTGGTACTTATTTTCCTGGTCTCTGTCCAGATTCTGACACTGTCTCAATCTAATCCCTTCTCTAATGGTTATTCTCTGAAAACAGAGAAAAGGATAGAAAAGCCAGATGTATTTCTAGGCCTTCAGAGATGGCAAAATATTACTAACAGAGTCTCCACAGCCCAAGTGTGGTGAACATGTGCTTAAAGTAAAGGTCGGGTGGAAGGAAGTGGTTAGGTGTTTCCCTTTCTTGCGGGAAGCGTGACGCAAAGCCCTGTCCAGGCGCTCGCCTGTGTGTCCTTTGAAAACGCAGAGGACCGAGAGGGGCGAGCAGGAGCAAAGGCAGGAAAGGAGCGGCTCAAGCGCGGTCCTGGTGTCTTCAGGCTCTGCTGACATCCGGGCAAGAACAAGGGGAAGCGAGGAGCTCTCCTGATGGGCTAAACCCTCCGCTAACCGGGGCTGCGGCAGTGCGCAGCAATGCGCTGGCTGGCGTTTCCTACGCTCTGTTGTTTCCGCACAACTTCGCCAGTGAACCTGAGTGACTTGTCTGTATACCAAAGACTGGCGCTATTTCTCTATAGTTCCGGGTGATACAACTTCATGGACAGCTGAGCTACTTTTTCTTTAGTACGGAGAGAGGCTTTCTAGGAACTCCATCAGAGTTAGGGTTACTTTGAGTAATCAGAATTGATAATACTTTTGAATAGTCAAGTTTTAAGTTACCTGGAAGGGCAAAGAAACTCCAACCTCACTCAAAGCCCTGTCCTTGCCCTACATCATAATAGGCCGAAGTTTTAAAAATGGGAGATTCAGTTTAATTCTTACAGGCAGCAGGATTGGTTATCCAAAGGAGAAGGCCCAAATTCAGAAATTAATGCGAGTTCTCTACCACAGTGAATCTGAATTCACACACATGCAACATGGACTTCGTTGGACCTGGGCACGCCTCTGTGGTGATGACTCGGAAGAAGCAATTAGACTGAAAACGGCTTATAAAAATGGCGATAACGTGATTTAAGGGCAACGTTACTATGTGCAGGCTCAGCCTCCTCAGTTGATTGAAACTCGCAAACCCATCATTCCCGTGGCCTTTCTTCACGTTGGTTTCCTGGCTTGGAAGGTTTTGCTTTCTTACAGGGAGAATTCATTTCCCGAGACAAGCTTTAGGCTCTCCCGCCCTAAGGATCCTCTATCACCGGTCCTCTGTCCCTTACTGGAACGCTGGTTCTCGGAAGTATGACACACACCGCTTCTTTGTTTTCTATATACCGACTTGGTGTCTGGTCTCAGATGTGCAAATGTCCATCACGTAAACTGGTAGGCTCTGCCTGCTCAGTCACACTGGGCACGTTGTCCTTTCCAAGGGGAACAGAATTCCGGAGGCTTAGCTTCCGGGTGGGGAGGGAGAAAGTGCCACCGTGTCTGTCGTTGTCCTTGCTGAAGTGTGTTCTTGCGCTGCTTCAGGTCGCCCACAAAGTGCCAGTGTCTTGGCTGGGCCGGACACCCGTGCTCTCAGTGCCTCTCTGCTATGCCGCCTGCCGCTCTCTCCTAGGACGTTTGCACCTCCCCTGGGTCTCCCCCTACCAAGGGTGGAGATGTGGGGTCTCGTGGAGAGCCCTGCTTTGTGGTCCACAGGCCTCTTTTTTTCTGGTGGGTGGAAATCTTTTTCCTCACCCAGTTGCTTCCCAAGTCCCTTCTCTTCTCCTGCTTCCCAGGAAACCAGCACGAGTTCTTTTACGCATTTGAGCTTTTCTAGAAGACTAGAATTTGTTTCCAATGTGAACACGATGATGGCAGAGAAGAGTCTTTCCCCCCCCTGTTTTTACTCAAATTAACAAAGAGAAGGAAAACACAGTTTCCAATTTTAGTGAAAGCACAAAATATGAACTGCAGCAACTCTTCAGTGTGTGGTGGGGCTGCCGGCAGCCGTTGTGACAGACAGAAGCTTGCGGGGACCCAGCAGTGCTGGTCTTGGAAAGCACTCACTGGGCGCCATTTCCAAAGTGAGTGGGACTCCCAGGAAGGACGGCAGTGCTTTTTATTTATACAACTAGAGCAGGAACCAACATAGGGCTGGGTGAATACAGAGGAGCTGAGACCAGCAGAAGTTGTAGAGGAGAGGTGAGGTGGGGATGTCCTTTCATTACGCTTCAGAGAGTCCTCAGAAATAATTTACCAATGAAAATGAACAATGAACAGTAAAAACAAGGCTGAACCCAAAGCATGGAAGGATTAAAAATCATCTGTAAAAGTAATAATAGAGCAGAGCAACAAAAGCCGTTGGATACTGGAACTGTCAAGGCAGATTATACAAACATCAGTACTACTGCTTTTAAAAATCAGCAACAGATTTAAAATATCTACTAGGAGCAAAATAAGATGCTAGGAGGAAGGAATATAGATCTTTCTCAAGTAGGAAGGGGATAAAGAGAGGGAGGGAGAGGGAGGGAAGGGGAGGGAAGGGGAGGAAGGGAGGGGAGGGAGGAGCATATACTCATTCTGGG